CCCACCCTGAACTCATCCAACTAAAGAGGGGTAAACCATGTATTAACCATGAGGGGTGTAGGCCCCAGTGGGAAGTGGGGGTGGGGCGGCTTCTTTTCTTTTCTTTTTCTTTTTCTCTTTTTTTTTAGTGAGGCAATTGGGGTTAAGTGACTCCCCCAGAGTCACACAGCTAGGAAGTGTCATGTGTTTGAGGCTGGATTTGAACTCAGGTCCTCCTGACTCCAGGGCCCATGCTCTATCCACTGTGCCACCTAACTGCCTCCAAGGGGGCATCTTTTTAAATGGCCCTTCTTAGGGAGTCTGAAGCCTTAGAGCCTCCTCTGTGAGCAGGTGGGCACCAGATGCCATCTTGGATGGCTCCTGCTTAGGGCAGCTTCCCCCGATGCGTACAGAAGGTTCTGAGGAGGGACACAGCTACAAAGAGTCTGAGGAATCAGGTCTCTGCTCTCCGTCCTGAAGTCAGTCTATGTTACCCAGTGGTTCACCTAAGCCTGATCTCTCAGCCCTTTGTGACCACAGGCCCCAGTCCAGCTTGTGTTGGCTTCGTCCTTATTTATTACACAGTTGATACCAGATGCAGTACCTAGAGGGGAGAAATCAGGCCTTATTTGGGTCTCCCTTCAGCTCAGGCACCGAGTCCTTGGGTGAATTTGGGAGGTAGCCCCTTCACCTCCCTGTGCCTACTTTACCCATTTACAATTTGGATCAGATGGCCTCTAAGAGCCCTCCCAGCTATATATAAATCCTGTGCTTTTAGAAGCCCAGTGTGGGGTCAGGCCCTAATGGGAAAGGCAGGTACCTAAAGTCCAGTATTTGACCTGCCTTTCGTTCCCTGACCAACCACAGGTTGAGGGACTGAAGGAGATGGAAGAGATGGACTTTTAGAAATCCCCGCAGGTGCTTCTTTATCCCCTCCTCTGCCCCCTCCCTAACAGAAAAGGGGGTATATGGAGGGGAAGAGACAAAGGAAGCCCAGCCAGAAAAATCACAAATGATTAATGAATGGCTGAGTCAGAGGAATCTGGCTGACCCTCGCTCCTCTTCTCTTCCTTTCCCTCCGCCTCCCCATCCCCCCCTTCTCCCTTCTCTATTTCTCCCTCTCCTATAGTCCTTTCCCTAGGCCCTTCCCCTTCCCTCCCTCTTTTCCTCCCACCCCATCCCTTCTTTTTCCCCTCTCCCTTCTCCCTCCTCTCCCCCCTGGATGCTTGGGGTGGAGGGAAGAACACAGGTTGCAGTTCCCCATGGTCCTCCACCCAGGGAGGACATACCAGGCCTTCCCTCAGTCTCTTTTCCCCTTCTGGGAATAGTACCCTGCCCAGCAGGTGAGACCAGGCTCCTCTCTCTAACTCATTATCCTGCTGGGGTCTCTTGGGTTGTTTCTGTCCTCTGAGGCTCAGTGCTCTGGTTTCAGATCTGTCTGACCAGAGGGTCAAAGGGCCCCCCAAAATGGCAGGAGGGAAGGCTGAACTACCTGAGGGTAAACTCTGAGTCAGGAAGACCTAGATTCTGTTTTTGTTTGTTTGTTTGTTTTTTGGCTAGGCAATGGGGTTAAGTGACTTCCCCAGGGTCACATAGCTAGTAAGTGTTATATGTCCGAGTCTGATTTAAACTCAGGTCCTGAATCCAGGGCAGGTGCTTTACCCACTGCGCCACCTAGCTGCCCAAGATATAGGTTCAAATCCAGCCTCAAACACCTACTAGCTGTGTGACCTTGGACAAGGCCTTTAACTGCCTGCCTCAGTTTCCTCAAGTGTAAAACGAGGATAATAATAATTGCACTTACCTCCCAGGGCTGTTGTGAGGATTAAAAAGGGCAATGTTTGTGAATCACTTCGCACAGTGCCTGGCACATAGGAGAGAGAAATGCTCATTTCTTTCCTTTCAGGGTATCCCATGGAAGCCCACCTCCCTGCCTCAGCCCTGACCTTCCTCCTTTGTCTAACCTTGCACAGGTTAACTTCCATTTTTCTAAGCTCCCTTACAGCTCTAAAGCCCATGTTCTTCCAGTTATGTCTTATAACAGTCCCTGAAGCAGAAATGCACACGGCCAGCTCTAATTAAATGTGTTTAGTGAATTCAGTTTAATACTGGGGCCTCTCCCTAGGGAGGGGAGTTAGCTGGTAATTGAATGAGCTCACCTGCCTATCCCTCTGCCTAGGCCCAGGGACACACCTAGTTCCCTCAGTGACAGTCATACATGCATGACTGAGTCTTTATTAGAACAGGATTCTATCAGGCAGACTAGTAGGCAGGCCCCCTCCAGGGCTCAACCAGTCTTAGAGATAAAAAGGCCTCCTTCTCTGCCACCTCCAGCCTTTTCTTTCCTGGTGGGGAGAGAAAAGCTAGTCACCACCTTCTTCCTAATAATGAATTGGAGATGATCTGTCGACTCTCTCTAGACCTTGTATGAACCTACTTACTGATCTGCTGTCTCCCTGGCTAGAACATTCTTTGTACCCCCTAGGGTTCAGCAGAGTAACTGGCACACAGCAGGTGCTTAATAAATGATTGTTGACTGACTCGAAAACAGGGCAAAAACCATTCCCTGCTGTCCTGAAGCGCAGTTCTGACCAAGTGGCTGAATCATTGGTGGCCCCCATCACCTCCAGGATCAAATCTCAAATCCTCTGCCTGGTGGCAGCTGATTGGAGGAGGGCCCTGCTTCCCTGTGGGGAGCAGTTCTATTAGGAGACTATCTTCATAATCCAGGCATGGTATGAGGGTCTCCACCAGGGTAGTGGCAGTGTCAGAGGAGAGAAGAGGGCAGAGGCCAGAGATGTTGAGAATGTAGAGACAAAAGGCCAGGACTTGATTGGAGCTGGGGGATGAGGAGTCAAGGATGACCCCTAGGTTTGGGGCCTGGGCCATGGGGATGATGGTGCTGTAAGAGTATAAGAATCCTGTGCCTGACCTCAGCTTTTGTTCCCTTCCCCAGATGTGAGGCTCTCTGGGGAGGCTGGGGCTGGTGCCTTTTTCTTCCCTTGACTTTCTCCCAAACACCAGCTTCTCCTCTCCTTGGGGCCTGGGGTTTCTAGCCACCTCTCATGCACAGTCCTCTGCCAGTGACTCCTGGCTTTCCCATCCCCTCCAGGTCACCTCTGGGCAGACCCAGGTTGGACTTTGAAGTTCACATGGGACCATGTGTAGCTGAGCAGAAAAACTGAAGACGTAGCAAGCTAGCGAGGGCTCTGCTCTGAGTTAGTCTGATGCCTGCTGCAGTCAGAGCACCCAGGGCCGGGGCAAGGGCCAGGCTGGAGCAGGACTGTGTCAGGGCAGAAGGTAAGTGATGCTGGAAGAAAAGGGGATGGGAGGCAGGGGTAACCAGGGAACAGAGGGCAGTGCCCAGGTCTCCCCCAGATTGTCCTGGTGCTGTGGGGCTCCCAGGGACTGAACCAGCAAAAGCCTGGAAGGAAGAAAGGTCATTCTGAGATGGACTGGGCCGACGGGCTTCAGAAAGCCTCTTCCTTTGCACCTCCCCTCCCATCTCCTAGAAATGCTGGGATCAGGAAGTCCTCAGAACACTGGTCTCTCTTAGCTCAGCATCACAGAGTAGGAGGGCTGGAAAGGGCTTCGGACACCCTGGGGTCCACCCAAGACTGAAAGCCTTAACTGCCTTTGACTTTGAATTATTCTGTTTGCCAACTGATCAGAAAAGCGCTGCTGGGAAGCAGGGTGGAAGAGTGGGCAAGAAAGAGCCCAAAGTGACCTGCGGGAGAGGGAAACAACGCTTCTCTCACCCTCTGCCCTTCCAAAAGGGGAAGGAGGAACTGCCTTCCTGGCTCTCTGTCCTTACTCCCCTCGTGAACCTTGGAAAGAAGACGGAAGATGCCATAGCAGGAAAATCTCCAAGTATATCATCGCTGACGTGCAGTATTAACTCTGTGTGTGTGTGTGTGTGTGTGTGTGTGTGTGTGTGTGTGTGTGTGTGTGTGTGTGTGTGTGTGTGTGTCATGCTAAATGCTTGGAATATAAATAGAAGGAAAAAGAAAGGTGAGCTCCACTCCCAAAGGAGGCCCCATTCTTACAGGGGAAGAAGAGAAACAGAGTTTTCCTTCGAAGGCATTAGATGGAAAAGGTGTCCTCAGAGATCTTGTGGAATGAAGATGGACCAGTGGAGTTTTCTGCAGTCTGGATTCCATTCTTCTTGTGAGAGAGGGATCAAGATGCAGGGAATAGAAACAAATCTCAGGGTCAAAACGCCTCCTTCTGCCAGCGTAAGGTAACATTTGCCTCAGAAGCTTCCTGGCTCTGTGACCTCGCCCCAGAACCTTCCGGCTCAAAGCCACAATGTTCCCAGCAAAATGAGGATGGGGTGGATGCCTTCAAAGGCGACTCCCAGATTGCTTGTGGTCCTTTAAAGTTAGCAAAATACTTTGCAAAGATTATCTTATTTGATTTTCACAATCACCCTTTGAAGTTGGGGCAGGGGGACATTGTAGTTAACCTTTGTTGGGCCATGGGCCTTGGGACAGTCTGGTGAAACTGCTCTGTGGTCTCCCTTCATCATGACAGCCAGGCTCAATTTCAGTTAGACGTCACTGAAAATCAAGATGGAAAGTGTTTTCCCATCCAAGTTCCCAGACACTCTGGGGTCCCTGGATCCCAGGCTCTAGATAGAACCTACAAGTATTGTTTTCTCTATGTGAAGAAACTGAGAGTCAGATCTGTGAAGTGGTCACACCCCAGGAGGTGTCAGCAGTGGGCTTAGAGCGGGGTAAGTCTTTCCGACCAAAGGGCACGTCACTTTCAGGAGTGGGGCCGGGCGGGCAGGGCTGCACAGGATCCCAAGATCTTTGTTTTCGGAAGACTTGGGTGAGCCTCTGCCGCCAAGTCCCGGGAACCACGGCACCCTAAGTGCACAGGTGGGAGGGAGCTACTGCAGCATGGAGCGAGGGCACCACGGGATCTAGGGGAAGAAGGTGGCCTAAGGGACTCCTCTAAGCCTGCCCTCAATCTCGCAGCTAGAACAAAGACAAGCAGAGTAGAGTACTGGAGCAGAAAGCGAACACGTAGCCATGGGGGCGTGGCTGCGCGTTCCCGTTAGCACGGCGCCACACCCCTCCCAAGAGTGGGCAGGAGGAAGGGGACCCCCTGCTAATTCTGGGGTCCTCGCCACCTGCCACTCTAGCTTTGAGATCTTCCTCCTGCAGCCTGCAGGCGCAGTGCAAAGAGAGAGAAGGAAGGCGCATGGCGGAGAGGAAGTGGGCGTACGCCCGGAGAGGGAGGGCTCACGGGAGAGAGGGTGGACGCACAGTCGGAGGGGGCAGGCACAGCGTCGGAGTGGGTGGGCACAGGGCCGCAGTGGGTGGGCACAGAGCCGGAGGGGCAGGCACACGGCCGGAGGGGGCGGGCACAGGGCCGGAGTTGGAGGGTATAAGGCTGGAGTGGGAGGGCGCACAGCCAGAGTGGGTGGGCACAGGGCTGGAGGGGCGAGTGCCCAGAGACCTCTGTTCAGGAAGCCGCCGAATTGTGAATCACGGGTAAGTCTTGAGTGCACGCCATCTCACTCGGACCCTTGTCCCTGGAACGTTCTTGCTGAGAATCCGGTATCAGCCGCAGGACCGAGGTGGGAAGCGTCCCGATCCAGCCTGGGGATCCCCCTCCCCCAACCGTGTGTGTGTATGTTGGGGATGATGGGCTCTGCCCTGCTCCGCTCTCCTTTGCCCTCGCGTCTCCTGAATGTTTGCATGGCTTGGGCGGAGTCCCTTCCCTGTCCCCTTCTCTCTCTGAAAGTGGCAGAATGGCGGATCCTGCCTTGGCCGTGGGGGGCGGGTTGAGGACTCGCTCGAGGCTTCTTTGCGTTGGGTAGGGCACAGTTTTCCTTTCCCCCTTCCTCAGTGCCCCCACCTGTGAAGCAGGGATCAGGGATCTATATCCCACTTTAATGCCATCTGGAGCCGCTGCTTCTCCCTGTAAGTCGGTGATAATATACTTGGAGATTTTCTTGCTATGGCATCTTCCCTCTTTCCAAGGCTCACGAGGGGAGAGGGCAGAGGGCCAGGAAGGCCGTTCCTCCTTCCCCGTTTGGAAAGGGCAAAGGGTGAGAGAAGCGGTGTTTCCCTCACCCTCAGGTCGCTTTGGGCTCCTTCTTGCCCACTCCTCCACCCTGCTTCCCAGCAGCGCTTTTCTTATTGGCTGGATTTTTCTTGTATGAACCCTTTGGGGTCTCCATTTGGATTCTTCTCCCTACAAGTTTCCTTCATTTTCCAAGCACTGAATTAATCCCCATTCTCCCAGGGGGAAACTAAGGCACTGGAAGGAGAGGGTCACCTGGGGGAGGAAGGAGCTGAGTCGAGATTAGGACCTCAATCCCCCCTGCTCGTGACACCTGCGCACTCTGATCTCCCCCTGATAGGCACCCTTCCCCCCACCTCCCTTAGCTGGGCTGGCTTCAGGGTTCTTCCAAGACTGTCGAACAAGTATGTTGCTAAAAACAGGATAATCAGGGCCCTGAAGGAGCTTACATTCTTTTGGAAAGGATATGCTGTGTAAGTATGTACTGAAGAGAGATAACTTTAGCACCCAAGACAGTCTTCAGCAGGTAGTGGGATAGGATCTGAGCCTTGAAGGCCGAGATGAGGAGGGGATGCAATGAAGTCGGTCAGCTACAAGTCAGCCAGTTTTGGACCTGAATAAACTTGAGAAGGAGTTCTGGGGCCCTACTCTGAAGTACTTTAAAGTCCGAAGCCGGGGGCATTGCATTTTATCGGAGAGGCTCGTAGGGGAGTGATATGGTGAGATGCCTGCAGCAGGAAGATTATTTGGGCAGCTATTTATGGAGAAGGGAGGAATGAGGAGGAACCTTTGGTTTGAGATCTGAGCATCTGTAGGGAAGGAGGAAAATGGCAAGCCACCTAGGACAAGTATCTCTTTTCCTCCTGCTTGAATTCTGGGCCAGCCCTCTTGGGGCATTCCCAAGCTGGGGCTAGCCTTGCCACCCTGCATTCTGTCCAAACGTCCTAGTGGACTTTACCTCTCCAGGTGAAAGGGAAAAGCTGCTTCTCAGATGTCTCCCCTCCCCCTTCCTTCTGGCTATAATTCCAGAGCCCTTCTTGGGGCAGTTGAGAACTCTAAGAGGTTCAACCTGAAGGATCCTTCTCTGTCTCTTGCCCTGCTCTGCCCAGGAGTCTTCCAGCCCTTGCTACTGAATGGGAAGGAACTCAATCAAGATGGCCCAGCTAGACCAGATTCCTGGAGGTCCCTGAGTCCCCTGACAAATGGTCATCCAGTCTCTGGAGACCTCCAGTGAGAGGTTCCCACCAGCTCCTGAGGCAGCCCTGGCCTTATTGTTAGGGAGGGTCTCCTGACTTGGACCTGGAATCAGCCTGAGGTCACTCCTGGAGACAACAGCACAGCCAGGCCTGGATCCCCTACTCTGCATTCTTGGGCTCCCTCCTCTACCACCACCACCCCGCCCCCAGCCACATCTAGATTCCTTGGTCAGGACATGTTTGCTGAAAGCCTTCTGGTGCCTAGAGATCACACCCTGCTAAGGACCTACAGGGAGGTCTAGAGAGAGATGGAGCAGGATCCCTGACCACTAGGGACTTACATTCTAACCTGGGAGACATATATTAACATGTGGTGCATGTACCTAAAAATAGGGGGCTTAGCATCAGGTGCCAAGATAGGCACACATTTCACTTTATCCTAGCTACCAGGGGATGTCATACATCCCCACACCGGCAGCCCTGGGCCCAGCCACCACCCACGCAGTTGGACTCTCACAGAGGAAACTGCTTCTCTTACCCTACAACAAAAAAGGGGGAGTTTAACAAGGGACAGTGTTCTTCAGTCGCATTTAACTCTTCTTGACCCCATTTGGGGTTTTCTTGGCAAAGATACCGGAGTGGTTTGCCAATTCCTTCTCTAGCTCGTTTTACAGATGAGGAAACCGAGGCAAACAAGGTTAAGTGACTTGCCCAGGGTCACACAGCTAGGAAGTGTCTGAGGCCATATTGGAACTGATAAAGATAAAGTTTCCTGATTCCAAGCCCAGGACTCTACCTATCGTGCCACAGATCTGTCCAAAGTCCTAGCCTTGACCTGCTACCTACTGACTTTCCATCTCTCCCTACATTGGACTGTCCTGCCAATTCCCAGAGGACTTAGGGGTTGAGAGGAGCTAGAGGGCTGTAAGTTAAAGGGGCTGTATGCTTTGCGGGGGGGATGGCTCCTGTTGGCCAGTTGAGGCCCCTTCTCAGGGTTGTACCCCTCATCCTGACTCTGTAGCTTTCTACCTGGGTTACATTGGGCCTCCGATTCCTAATCAGTGAAATGAGGGCTGATGTCTGAGGAGCCTTCCATCTTTCAGTCTATGACCCTCTTTTTTTTTTTTATTCTACTTAATAATATTTTATTTTTCCAATTACATATAAAGATAGTTTTCAACATTCACTTTTATAAGATTTTTAGTTCCAATTTTTTTTCTCCTTCCCCTCCCCAAGAGGGCAAGCAATCTGACATAGGTTATACGTGTACAATCATATTAATCACATTTCCACATTTGTAAGACCCTCTTTACATTGTGGGGCCAGGGGCTCCCAAGGCCACCAGGGGAAGCCACGAGTAATTGGGACAAAACAAAGTCTGTCACCTGAAGCCTCTCCAGCCTCTCAAATATGGAGGGTGTGCTTTCTGTCCCTGCCTCCTACTGCCTTGGGAATTTGTCCCCCATCCACCTTCCTTCTTTATCCTTCGGTCTTTACTGTGTGTCTTTTCTGATGGTTTTTATGACTCTTAATTTCCACCCCTCAGTCTAATTCAGCTATTAGAATAAACAAAACTGAATGAGAAGGAAGAAAAGATGGTGGTGGACTTTGGTTGTATAGGAGACTGCTGAGTCCGCTTAAAAGCGAATGTGTGTGTCCCTCTGACAAGGTGGTCAGCTTGTGTTGATTTCTAGGCTCCTCCTGATGTCAAGGTTTTGTGGCTGACGATACTGGATTTGTCTGGGTGCACTGTCCCTTGAGGTTCTGCTCACCCTGCAGTCCTTCTTAGAGCCTCCCCCTTTTCCTCAGGGTGCTTCGTGGGTAGCCGGCCAGCCAGCCGGCCATGGGACGTTCCGTCCTGTACCATTTGGACCGGTGCTGTTGGGAATGTATGTGTACAGCTCTCTCTCTCTCCTGTGTTGCAGGTAGCGATGGCGTCCTCCGTCGTCCTTCACACCGGGCAGAAGATGCCTGTCTTGGGGCTGGGTACCTGGAAGAGTGAGGCTGGGCAGGTGAGGTGGGGGCTGGGTGCAGGGAGAGCTGTGGTTGGGGGAGGGGAGACAGCCTAGGAAGAGAAGTGGGGGAGGACTTGGCCCCTACCCTCATGAAGATTATAATCTTTGCAGAGAAGAACAACCCCCAGAAAGCAGTTAGATGGTGAACAGTTAGTAAACTGTACAAGGCAGCTGCCCTTGAACCTGGTGCTCAGAAGTAGGGGCCTGCAAAGGCTTTTGGGAGGCCGGTGAGTGGGCCAAAAGTTTGTTGTTCACAACAGCCCTTTGAGGTAGAAGGGTGAAAATCTCCCCATTCCACAGAAGAAGAAATGGGCTGATGGGGTCTTAGCTCTGGGAAGGGCTGGAGCCGCTGGGTCTGGGGCCAGTGAGTGCCCGTCTTGCACAGCAGGCGGCCATGCCAGAAGCGTGGTGTGGTTGAAGCAGAGGGGCGTTGTCAGGGATAGAAGAGGGTAGTGCAGTGGTGGGAGCCTCCCACGGTGTCCTGGCCTCTCCCTCCGCCCCATAGCCACCAGACCTAGGAGGACCAGGGAGGAAGGGAGAAGGTGGCTGTGATGAAGCTTCCTAGGGACCCCAGAGCCCTGCTGGTGACTGTGCCAGGGATGAAGTGGGCACAGGCCAGAGAGGCCTCAGTCCTTCTCCCCTCCCCCTGCAAACCGCTTACTGGAGACTGAGTGCCCAGATGCCAAACCTGTTCTATAATCCCAGGTTTCAGGAAGGGATGAGGGAGGGAGGAGGCAGGAAGTGGGCACTTGCTCTGGGGTATGATGGGGGTGGGGGGAGCTATTTGCCTGACCCATAGGGCTTACCTGTCACTTTTCAGCTTGGAATGTCCTGATGGGTTGTGTCTCTGGTGTGTGTGTGTGTATGTGTATGTGTATGTGTGAGTGTATGGGCATATGGTGTATGTGTGAGTATGTGCACATGTGTGTGTGTGTGTTTGATTGTTAAGAACTTGGCATCCTTCCTGCCCTCTAAAACTCAGTCCCCAGCCCATGTGTGAGGTGTGGAGAGCCCCGGGACCAGGCCCCCTGTCAAGTCAGTACAGATGATAGCTCCTAACCTTGCAGAAGAGGAGCCTGTGGTCCCTGTGATCAGTCTGATGCCTAGGAAACAGATGGGGAATGGGAGGGATGCCTGTGGAGGGGCCCTGGGATTGGGGTGTGGCTGGCACAGGACAGAGGCAGTTGCCATTGGAAGGGATTGGAAAGATGGTAGGGAGGGGGTGGGAGAAGGGCGGAAGCCAAGCCTTTTGAGGTCTAGTGGTCACCCACAGGCTTCCCATCCCTTCTCTTTGCCGAGCCTCAGTTCTCTCATTTGTAAAATGGGGATGAATAATCTCCATTATCATCTCCCTCACGGGGAGTTATGAAGCTTGAATGAGATCGTGTCCATGAAGGGCTCTGCCAATCATAAAGAGCCATAGACATATCAGTTATTAGCATAATGAAGACACTGGGGGGGGGGTGGCCCAGAGGGAGGCTAGTTCTGGTGGATAGAGGGACAGAGACGGAGCAGAGCCACCGTCCAGGGACACTGTGTGCAGGAGCGGCTTTGTCAGAGGTTGAGCCAAATGCTGTGGGAGGAAGCCTGCCTGGTGAGCAAGGCTGGTCCAGAGTCGGTGCCTTGGGGCCTGAGTGGAATGTTCTGATGGGATTAATGTAGTTGGGAAAGCTAAAGGCCCCCTCCAGTCCTTGTGGTTCTGTCCTTTCTTTGTGGAGAGTGGGCAAGGGAGCCATCAGCACATGTTCCGTTGTCTGAGCAGCTCACTGAGAATGTGGGGGTGTCTAGCATCCTGATCCCAGATTCCAGATGAGCACACTGAGGCTCGGGCAGAGGTCCTTGCCAAGCAGCCCTGGGGGAGATCTGAGTGGACAGGTTCTCCCCAAGCAGAGGTGCCTGCCCCCTCCGTCTTTTCCCAATCCCATTCTGGGCATTTCGCCCCCCCTTATAGGTGAAGGCCGCTATCAAATACGCTTTGAGCGTTGGCTACCGCCACATCGACTGTGCTGCCATCTATGGAAATGAGGTGGAGATTGGCGAGGCCTTGAAGGAGAGTGTTGGGCCCGGCAAGGTAAGTGAGGCTGGCCTGTGGGAGTGGGGAGAGCTCTCAAGGGGGAAGGAGCCCAAGAAGCTGGGGCCCTCACCCCATTGGTTATGCCCCCTTCCCCAGGCTGTTCCCCGGGAAGAAGTGTTTGTGACCTCCAAGCTATGGAATACCCAGCACCAGCCGGAGGACGTGGAACCCGCCCTCAGGAAGACCCTGGCCGACCTCCAGCTGCAGTATCTGGACCTCTACCTGATGCACTGGCCCTATGGCTTTGAGTGAGCATGGAAGGTGGCACTGGAGTGGGGCTGGACAGGCTAAGGGGACACTGCCTCAGGGAGCTCATGGGCCGGTAGGAGAGGCCGGGTTGCCCAGTGCGGGGCACGCTGTGTCCAGTCAGCCTCCATGTCCCTTCGTCAGATGATGAGGAAGTGGTCTGGTGGTGTTCAGTTGTACAGTGGGTGGGTGGGTGCGGGGCAGAAGGGACCAGGGGAAGCTGAGGTCATGGGGCTGTCATGTCTGCAGGCGGGGGGGACACCCTCTTCCCTAAGAATGAAGATGGAACAATGCGCTATGACACCATCAGCTACAAGGAGACTTGGAAGGCAATGGAGGCATTGGTGTCCAAGGGGCTGGTGTGGGCCCTGGGCCTCTCCAACTTCAACAGCCGCCAGATTGACGACATTCTCAGCGTGGCCACTGTGCGGCCTGCCGTGCTCCAGGTGAGCCGGGGGGAGCTGCAGGGGCAGGGGTGCCCTGGGCTTTGGGGGTAAGGGGCACCCCAGGCATTGGGGGTAGGGGGCACCCCAGGATTTGGGAGCTGGGGAATACCTTGGACTTTGGGGGTGGGGTACCCTAGGCTTTGGGGGCGGGGGGTACCCTGAGCATTGGAAGTAGGGGTCACCCCGGGCCTCAGGGGGCTGGAGGCACCCCAGGCTTTGGAGCCCTGGTCCAGACGATGGGATGACTAGATGGCAAGTCACACATGTTCTGGGGCCTGGGGCTGTGCCTGTGTGACAGGCCCTAGTAGTAGGGGGCTGTCTAGATCACTGCCGACCAACGCTGCTTTCTCTGCACAAGGTGGAGAGCCATGCTTACCTGGCCCAGAATGAGCTAATTGCTCACTGCCATGAGCGGGGGCTGGAGGTGATAGCCTACAGCCCCCTGGGCTCCCCGGAAAGAACCTGGCGAGACCCATCGGAGCCAGTCCTGCTGGAGGAGCCTGTTGTCCTGGAGCTGGCCAAGAAGCATGGGAAGTCACCGGCCCAGATCCTGCTCAGGTATGGAGGTGGCCTGGGAGAGATGCACTCACAAATGGTCATTTCCTGCTGGAATCCCTGGGGCTGAGCACCCTGAGCACACGCTGAGGTCGATAGGGAGGAAGGGGGCTATGAAGAGAGCCCTGGGCCCTGTGCTCTGTCCTCAGTTTCCCTGCCTGAAAAATGGGAACAGTCATATCCATATTACCAGCCACAGAGAGTTTTTATAGAATAAAGATCATGTGTGTAAAGTGCTGTTTTTTTAAAACACTCAAGATTCTAGCGCTCCTCAATGGTTCTCAAACTTCTGGGTCTCAGGATCCCTTTATACTCCTAAAAATAATTGAGAACCCCCTCCCTCAAAAGGGTTTTGTTTATGTGAGTCATAGCTGTCCATATTTACCGTATTCGTCAATAAACATCCTACTACATGCCAGGCACTGTGCTTAAGGTGGGGGGAGAGACAACATGCAAACACCTGTGGATAGTCAAGTTACACACAGCATAAATCAGATTGACAGAGAAAAGGCTCTAGCATGGAGGGGAATCAGGAAGAAGAAGGTGGGATTTTAGCTGGGATATGAAGGAAGCCAGCAGAGAGAGAGGAGAGGGGAGGGCGTTCTAGGCACGGGGCACAGCCAGAGAAAGTGCCCGGAGTCCAGAGACGGAGGGTCTTGTGGGAGGAACAGCCAGGAGACCAATGTCACTGGGTCACTGGGAGTGTGTGTGTGTGTGGTGGGGGGTTGACATAAGGTATAAGAAAACTGGAAAGGTAGGAAGGGGCCGGGTTATGGAAGGATCTCTAAGTCAGACGATTTTGTATCTTATCTTGGAGGTGCCAGGGAGCTGCTAGGATTGATTGAGTAGGGGTTGACGTGGTCAGGCCTGCATTTTAACATATTGATTTTACAGCTGTGGGGAGGACAGACTAGAGTGGGGAAGGCCTGGAGGCAGGCGGACCCCCCAGCAGCTAGTACGATGGTCCAGGGGACCAGGAAATGCACCAGGGTGTGGAAGCATTGGAGGAGAGAAGGGGGCGTACTGGTAGAATTGACAGGCCTTGGCGACAGCTTGGGCACGGAGGGGGTGGCGAAAAAGGGCAGTCAAAGATGACATGAACCTGGGTGACTGATGGTACCCTCGACCCTAATACGGAAATCGGGAAGAGGAGAGTGTCGGGGGAAAGATAACCAGTTCAGCTTCAGACACATCCCACTTAAGGTGACTACAAGACATTGAGTGAGTTCAAGATGTCCAGTAGGCATTTGAAAATCTGAAAACCCCAAGTTCAAATCTCACCTCAGATACTTACTAGCTATGTGACCCTGAGCAAGTCACTTAACTTCTGTCTCAGTTGCCTTCCCTGTAAAATGGGGATAGTAATATCCCCTACTTCCCAGGGTAGTTATGAGGATAAAATGAAATCTTGTAAACCCCTTTGCAAAATTAAAAATACTATATAAATGCTAGTTATTATCTGGGTGTTTTTTTTTTGTGAGGCCATCAGGGTTAGTGATTTGCCCAGGGTCACATAACTAGTAAGTGTTATGTGTCTGAGGCCAGATTTGAACTCAGGTCCTCCTGACTCCAGGGCTAGTGCTCTATTCTGTTATCATTATTATTAAAAGTTAGCTAGAGAAAACAAGGGAAATGAGAGCTAGGTACATCATGTCACTGGTCATTAGTTTTCCCATCTGTAAAATGGAGGGATTGGCTTGAATAACCTCGAACATCCCTTCCTAAATCCTGATATTCTCTGGATGGAGGCCCTCTATTTCCACTAGCCCATGCTGCATCATGAGCCCCAGCTGGCACTTGGGAACTGGGGGGGGGTACATGTGAGAAGACCCTGCCAGGCGTGACCCCCTTTTCCCCCCGGGGCTGCTCTCCCTCCTTGCAGGTGGCAAGTCCAGCGGAAGGTGAGCTGTATTCCCAAAAGCATCAACCCTTCCCGTATCCTGGAGAACCTGCAGGTGAGGAAGCAGGCCTTGGACTCAGGTGCAGGGAGGGGGCAGCTCTGTGGGTCTGAGGCGGGTGGGAGCCCCAGTAATGGGTCCCGGACTCAGGACTCTGGGTCACCCCTGCTAGGTTTTTGACTTCACCCTGACGCCAGAGGAGATGAAGCGGATGGGGGCGCTGAATAAGAATTGCCGGTACATCGTGCCCATGATAACGGTGAGGGCTGGGCTGGTGGCTGGTGGCTGGGGGTGGGCACAGGCAGGGCTGATGAGCCCCTCCTAAGAGAGGCTTCTGTCTCTGTCTTTGCAGGTGGATGGGAAGCGGGTCCCGAGAGATGCAGGACATCCTCTGTATCCCTTCAATGAGCCCTTTTAAGGCCTGGCCTCTTTCAGATTTCGTGTAGCCCAGACAGGAGGCAGCATCAATATACTCATTATAGCCTCTGTGACTCTGGCTGCTTTATGTCTCTTCGTCCTGGTGTACAGCTGACCACAATGGCCCTTCCACCAGCAGCTCGCCCACCTGGCCTTCAGTAGCCCTGGGCAGTGACAGCACCAAACCGTAGTTAGGGATCTGAGGAGTAGAGGGCGTAGAACTGGGAGCAATCTGAGTGCCCATAGGATCCCATTGTACAGGTGAGAAAACTGAGACCCAAGAATGGGGCTCAGGCTTAGAAGGCAGAACTGGAACCCATGCCTAGCTAGTATACAATCTACCCTTCATGCTGCAGCTGGGGGAGAGAGAGAGAGAGAGAGAGAGAGAGAGAGAGAGAGAGAGAGAGAGAGACTGGAGAAAAGAGAAAAGGAGAGAGATTGAAGGAAAAGGGGAAAGAGAGAGGTATGTGTATATGTGACATATGTTTGTATGGTATGTGTACTTGTGGGCTGTGTGTGGTAGGTGTATGGTGTGTGTTATACGTTTGTCATGTATGCAGCATATGTGTGTGTTTGTGCACAAGTGGGTGGGCAGCTCTGCCATTGACCTCCAACTGACATTGAAAATACTGCCTGCCTCAGTTTCTCTTGCTGTTGCCCAGAATAGGGGACTTAGAGCATCTGAGAACTTTAGACCTAATCAGGCTGGGGGGAGGCCCCCAAGTTATGGTGTTTGGGCACTGGGAGGAGTCTTGGCCACAGACCCCCTGCCCCTCTCACCCCCCAAGGCTGCCCCTGCCTGAGGCAGAAATCCCTGGTGGAGCCTTCTTGGCCAGGAGCCTAAGTCACCTGCCATCACAGCCCTGTCTATTTCTGGTCACCTCTAATCTTTAGGGAATTCTTGCTTATATGGGGTCTGTGCCTTGTTTTCTTTGGAAGATAATAATCATGCCCCCCTTCAGTCTTACTCCCTAGGCTCCTTCTCAGCCAGTCACTCAACAAGCATTTCTTATGCCCCTGCTTGACACCAGGCACTGTGGGGATACAGAGAAAAGCCAAAAATCCATCCCAGCTCTTGGGGAGCTCAGTCTAATAGGGGAGATAAGAAGAACCTCCCCAGTTCCTTCTGCTGCCTGGTGGACCAATGGGCAGACTGGGGGAAGGGATTTGCTCAAGGTCACAATGTGAGTTAATCGCAGGGGGCTGGAAATGAGGACTCGGAGGGGGTAAAGCTCTCAACTGAGTTCTGCCCCACCCCCTCACTACACTGGAAACTTTGGGGCCAGTGCAAGGAATTATCTCAGGCACCAGGAAGAAGTATAAGTTACTCGATCTGTCAGGGGGAAAGAAAAGAAAACCATAATCCTGTGCTCTGGATTTGGGATAAAATCTGCCAGCAGCGATTTTTATTAATCTGATGTTCTAAATACAGGTTTTTCTAGCTTAGTTCTCCTTGTCCATTGGACCTCGGACATCTCTCTTTTTGTGGTTGTTCAGTCATGTCTGACCTTTCATGACCCCATTTGGGGTTTTCTTGGCAAAGACATTGGAGTGGTTTGGTGGTTTGCCATTTACTTCTCCAACTCATTTTACAAGTGAAAATGAGGCCAACAGGATTGAGTGGCTTGCCCAGCGTCACACAGCTAATAAGTGTCCAAGGCCAGATTTGAACTCCTGAAGATGAGTCTTCCTGACTCCAGGCCCGGTGCTGTATGCACTATGGCTCCACCTAGCTGCCCTCAACATCTCAACACCCCAAGACAATTTGGGGTGACATACGATTCTCAAAGAAAAAGTCATCCCTGTGTTCAAAGACATTTAGGAATAAGAATCACTAAGGAAAGGCCTTCAGCCATCGGCTGGAATTGCTCAGCTCCTTCCTGGGCCACTCTCCTGGCCATGGAGGAGTGACCTCGGTGGGCTCACCCCATCTTAATCCTTTATTTGAATGGAGGAGAGGCAGGATCACCATCCGTGGCTTCTGGAGATGGAATCTGGGCAGGGCTCAAAACTATCTTCTTTTCCTTTTTTTCTTTAATATTTTATTTTTTCCCGATTTACATGTAAACAATTTTTAACATTTGTTTTTTAAAATTTTGAGTTCCAAATTCCTTCCCTCCCTCCCTCTTCCATCTTTGAGAAGGCAAGCACTTTGATACAGGTTGTACGTGTGCAGCCAAGCAAAACGTTTCCAATGTTAGTTATGTGATACGCAAGGATCTTGGCTGGACCTAGGGATGGGGGGGTTAGGTACCCCTTGTTTGAAGACTGGTCTCCACATTAATCCCATTCCAGGGACCTTGTCTTTGTTCCCGGGCCCCTAGGTACTTTCCTAAAGGAAAGTGTCTGGCGTTAGGGGTTTAGACTACAGAGGAGCCATGCCTTCATGTTTTTTTTCTCTTGCTATCTATAGAAGAGGTTGGATTTTAATGGGCTTCCACAGCTCAAATGAGACCAAACCTTGCTGGTCACTGGCTTCCTGGTTGCACGGGCCCAGAGATCACAGAGCTGGACAAGGCGGTCATTCCCCCTTCCTTGGGACACACACCCCAGCTCTGTAAGCAGCCATGACTAGGGTGCTGCCCATAGTGGGTACGGGGCCCAGAGCCCTGGACTTGGAGTCAGGAGCACTCCTGCTGTAGATGCTTCCTAACACAGTGCCTCTGAGCAAGTCATTTCCTCATCTATAAATGGATGGCCTGATAGGTCCTTTCCATGCCCAGATCTGTGATCTCAGGTCCAAAAAGTCTTAGGGAGGACCAGGGAGGGCCTCCATAATGCTATGTGTGCCCTCCTCCCTCTTCCTGCTTCTGTCAAGAGTAACCCTAGGGAGCGTTGGGACGGCAGGTGAGGAGGAAGAGGCCTCACCCCTTCTGCTACCAATGCCCACCAAGGGTAAAGGCTAAAGGCCTTACTGCTGGCCTGTGCATCTTCCAGGGACTCCAGGAAGGATCTGGGGAAGGTTCTAGGTGAATCCTGCCCTGGGGCTGGAGGTTGGGGTATCCCTGAGCCCTGGAGGGGCTAGACCCCATATGAGGAGGAAAGCAACAGCAGCTTCTTGTGCCGAGGGCAATGGGGACCCCCAAGTTGGATGGTCAGTGGGACACTAATAATAGCTAGAATTTATACAGTGCCTAATATGTGCCAGGTACTGTGCTAAGTACTTAACATTTGTTAATAATATTTGCTATCTCTTGATCTTCAAAACAACTCTGGGTTGTAGGTATTATCCCCATTTTACAGCTGAGAAAACTGAGGCAAACTGGTTATAAGTGATTTAGGTGGGATTACATGGCTAGTAAATGTGAAGTCGAATTTGAACTCGGGTCTTCTGACTCCAGATAGCTTATCCACCCAGCCACCTCTAGGGAGCCAGAAGCAGAAAAAAGGAGGAGGGCACACATAGCATTATGGAGCCCTCCCTGTGAATGATGTCTAGGTACCACCCACGTCCCTGTGCACTTGGCATTCCCCAAAGGTGGTGTTACCCAAAGGTACCATTCCCCGCCTTCCAGGATTGCTGCCCTTTCTGCCTGCAGGGAACACACTGGCTCAAGTCCACTTCCTGACTTTCATATTTTCTTTCAGGGCTCATTTTAGGGGACTTCTCCTTGAAGTCTAACACCCCCACCCCCCATTCCCTTGTGCTGTCTCCCTCTGTCAGGTGTTGGCATGGGAGAAAGTAAGCTTCCCAAATCACAGATGGTTAGAATAGAAAAGGACCCCATTCCCTCTCTCCCTGCCTGCCCCGTGGGCTCATCCCACCTTGATTGTTAGAGGGAATGGAGCCATGATGCTTAAGCTACATTTGGGCTGAATTAAATGGTAAACCTGCCCTCCAGAAGGGCATATTCTTGATCAGGATGGCTACAGAAGAGCAAAAGGTCAGAGCCTGGAGAATGACAGGCATCCCCCGCCACCTCTGGATAGCTCTGATGGAGAGATTTTTTTCCTGACACCTATCCAAATTTGCCTTTTTGGAACTTTAACTCACATTCCTCCCAAGCGTTTCCTGTTAAGGACAAATAGACCATACGTGGAGTGCTGGGTGCTACCAGTTAGAGGTTAGTGGGCTGGAGGGTGTCCCCAGGAGGCAACAAGGAAGAAGAAGAGCCTCAAAGCCATGTCACCTCAGTTGAAAGGAAAGAGGATGTTTAGTCTGGAGAAAAGACGACTGAAGCGGGACAGATCTGTCCACATTTATTTTGGGGCTCTGGAAAAGGGATTCAAGTGCCTGTCTCCAGAAGGCAGATCCATTAGGGGTAGGGGACATGGCAGAGGCCAGTATAGGATGGGTTTGAATAACTCCCCAACAGTGAGGGCTTCTTAGGCTGTTTCCCTGTTATATTTTGGAGGTCCACATGGCTGGGTGGCCACTGGTTGTGGTTGAGGGAGTGGGGGAGGAATTCTTTCCCCGGGACATGGGACCTCTGAGAGTCAGGGATGGGCATCGCAAAGCATCTTGGAGGGGCACTCAGGCCCACTGTTCCTTGCCTGGAATCTGGGGGGGTCTGATGAAGAAGATGGTTGTGGGGAAATAAGAGATGCTGAAGCATCCCTCTGGTACCCGCCTCCCTCCACTTCCTTCGGAGAGGCATCTGGGCTTTGTACTGTGGGGGAGCAGCGCCACCTTGTGGCTGCAGCACTCATGAGACTCAGGGAAGGGTCAGAGATGTCACAGAACCGTCAGGGAACCCAGCAGATTATCCAGCCCAACCCCATTTTGGACAGATAAGAAAACAGGCCCCCAAAAGGAACATGACCTGCCCAAGGTCACCTAGCTAGGAAGCCAAAAAAGTGGCCAAGCCAAAATGTGGACTTTATTTTTTTAAATTAGTTTAAACTTAAATATGCAATAAGAAAAGAAAAATGCATTGCCATGTGCATAGCAGAATGTAAGAGGGTTCAACATATACAGCAATAAATTTCCATTTCAATAAAGCCTATATAATTGATACTACACATTGTTTTCAGAGCTGTCCATCTTTTCTTTGATTCCTTGTAAGTTTTCTTTGGTTCTCTGCTGTGTACTTTTCACTTTGTTCTTTTTTTCCCCTTTCCTCCCCACCTTCCC